GAAAACAATGGCAAATATATCATTAATTAATTTTCTTCCTAAGATTAAAAATATGTAAATTGAATTTTTCCTAAAAAAAATGACAAAAATGTTTATTTTTAACATTTTTTTTTAATCCATTATTTTGAAAACCATTTAACCAAAGTACCTGTGTAAATCGGGGAATAGATGCATACATATATTATATTTACCTTATACAGTCGAACACACCATTATATGTTGGTTCTCCTGGAGCTTTCTTAATCACTTGTAACCTAGTTTTGATTACATCAAATGGATTGACCGTTAGAGCAGCTGTAGAGCCAGCAGCACAACCAGCCAAGAATGAACACCAAAATACGGCTGGTAAAAAATATATAAAAATATATTTATCAGATACCTGTTTATTACATGTTAAACAGTAAATAAGTTTCTCAATAGGTAATTTAATTTAAATACACTTACAAGAACCATCCTCCCTTTTTGGTCCAATATCATTAAGTCTAGCAAATAGTGGGAAGTAGATAATGGAGAACGTAACATCTCTGAGAGCTGTTGCACCAGTTCCTTGGTAGAGTCCTAAAATACCTCTCTTTCTCAGAAGATCTTTTGTTAGGGAGAGAGCTGACACCTTTGGTACAGTTTTCCCAGCTGCAATAAAATGTTTTTCTTTAATTTCACTGTTCATCTGTATATTATTTATTATAATAATTCACAATTATAATTCAATTTTTCGTAATTGTATAGAATTTAATAAGATTACTTAACTTTAATATAATTTTAGAAATATGCAATTTTCGTAGAATAAATACTAGTCAACTGTCTTATATACTGTTTTCAAAAAGTCCAAAATATGTCAAAAAATTAATACCACTGGTTTATGATACCAGTTAGTGAAATATTTTTTTTATTAATAACAAATGAACGATCAGCATGATAGCACACAAGAAGGGTCCTTAATATAATAAAAAAGAACACACATACAAAAAAGTTAGATATAAAACAGGTGTAAACAAAACAAATACCAGATATAGATTTTCTATGGAAGGGAAAACTTAATTTTAATTTAACCAAAAAAAGAAAAACAAATTCTTGGAAATCAACGACAAATGCATGTCTTAGGATAAAGAAAATTAAAATGGATGAAGTGCTAACTTTTTTTTGTGTAACATAACAGTCTACAAATAAAAGGAAACTATATGATTTCTCCTAAGTAGGAAAAGGAAAATCAAAACACAGTTGCAGTAATGAAAAATATATGGAAAATCTTTTTGAAAGTGAAGGTCAAATATCCAGAAGTAAAAATTTCTCAATGTAACATACAAGGAAGATTAAGATATCTATTCTAAATTCGAAACAGATGCAATATTCTCAAACTGTTTACCAATCTATATTCGATTCGCTGTTGTCCATCTTCAACTAAATCTTCCTTTTCTTAATTTTATTATGTATCGCGGTTGTATCACGCAGCTGTAAACAACACGAATCGAACGCAATGTATTCAAGCAATTAATCCGAAATAATACACAGCCAAACAATTTTTCGAAAGCAGTGTTTCCTCAAACATATTACTTAAACTTGGTAATTATTGCCCGTACACGTACGAAATTTGATGTAGCTGTTCATTGAACATTATTTCCGTCCATTTATATTAGAAACGCTACGATATTAAGACATCTTATCACCTTTCTCTGCCGCCGCTGCTACTCGCCCTGCATCTTGCATTTGAATCTTCAAGAGCTCCATTGGAGTTGTAACAATAATCTGACATGCTCCTGCTAGGCCACCGGCAAGCATCTCACGTTCTATTGGCAGTTTCTGTCTGTGCAGAAAATTAATAGGTGCTTGTACACACATTCTTATGACAATAGTAAACATGAAATAATTAATAACCTATCAAATTAACTGACCACCACGAGAATTTTGAGTGTTTTGTATAATATTACTTACTCTTTCATAACAAAGGCACATGATATAAGAATTAATTATTAATGATTTGGTATCGCAGCTCTTAAACTGCACCATTATTTAGTTACTTATGCGATTAAATATTTATATTCGACATCGTGTTTCTTCTTGTGTTTCCAAGCAATTTCGAAAGTCCGATCATCGGTGATCATCATAGCGATCAATGTTTTAAATAATAATTTTTAATCATGACGACGATTACAAATTAATACGTTTTCACAAAGATTATTCTCTCTCCATTATCGTACCGCTTAAGATTGGTAGCGTGATTGTACAATATAAAGTACACGATTCATCGATCGTTTAATTGCTTAGCAACCCGCATCTCTTTCATGATAGAGTTTGATTATAAAAAGAACATGGTCTGTATCGCTTACAACAAAGTTTCTTACCCAGGACCCGTGGACAAATAGTGACGGAAAGTATCGTTGGCAGTGAGTTTAATTGCTTTCTCAGGCGTAATTAAAAGAATATTTACACCAGACCCTTTGTACATCCCAAAATACCCTTCTGCTCTATAAGTCTTCTTGAAACAGTCGAGCCTGAAAGTATACCATATATTCAATTTCTTATTATTTCAAAGTGACTCAATCAACTTCTCAAACAAGATATAAATAACAAGTATAAATAAAGAAGATTATAATACAAATAAAGTAGAGTAACATTTAGTATGTTGTTATGTAATACTATTATATAAATATATTGCACTATTGGACAGTAATAGATTACTTACATTGATTTGTACATTCGTTCCCCATTAGGCCCGATAACTTGATTCTGTAATCGTGTTTTAACCAAATCCAGTGGAAACACCACGGAGACACCGATGATTCCTGCGATTCCGCCATTTATGACTTTCGGTAGAAGTCTGCAATTAAAATAATTCATGATGAGAATTCGATAATAATTGTTATAAATATTGTAAGCCATTAAACAATTTTTTATTAATAAATACATAATTATGAGAGACAATTTATGTATATGTATGACAATATATTAATAATATATTTATTTATTGCATGTGCAGGAGCGTTTAATAAATCGTGATAAATTTTGTTTAAGTTTTCCTTTGTTTGATGAAACAATTATAAAATATTCACTCACTTAAATTGTTTCGGAGCTTCTACGCTGTCCTTCTTTTCCATTTGAAACTATAGTTCAAACTTTCCTCCCTGCCGTAAAAATACAGTTTTCATTACACCTATGTTCGCGTGTATACAACTACGTACTATTTATATTACTAGTCGATAAATGCAGTATTTAACGCAACACCTTGGAACACTCTTATCTTTGAAAGTTTCTCAAATTATAAATATACAATTAACAGTTTTCCATTACGAATTGCATATTGGAGCTTGTTCGTTGGCATAGAATTAACGACTAAATTTGCCATTTTTAAATGTTCATTACTCAATAGTTACGGTCTAACTAAATATACAAGATTATTTTTATCGCATAGCTTTTTATTTTTCAAGAAATGTATATTATAAAAAGGATAACATGTGAAACAATAATAATGATGTCTATCGATGATTCAATTTATCGTATTACGCGATAAAGATTAAAACTACATGAGCAAACATTTGTTTGAAAATGAAAATGAAAATGAAAATGAAAATGAAAATGAAAATGAAAATGAAAATGAAAATGAAAACAGGTGGAAGAAATCGAATCACGTGAAAGTATGCTACGGTATTTAGCATCTATGTAGATCACGTGTGTACGCGCGCCAAATGGAAACACTAATGAGTACGAAAAATATCTTTTATAGTTAAGACGCATGCAAGATTACGGCTCACTTGTGTATCATTTATCTATGCATATAAACACTTTGTGTATACACATGTATGTACCCTATGTACATACAATAACCTAAATGGACCCTGTCATTCTGGCAACGTCGGCGGTCGCTATTAAGATTCCCTCTGTAGAGGAATATGACCTACAGACGTATCATTGATTTCTCACGAAAGCCCGAGCCGTTAGTGAACCGCCTACATTCAATGTAACAATCAAATTTTCAATTCTTTCTCTTTCAATTTTCCCATATCTAGAAATGAATATTATAAACTGAAAAATACACGAATTTTCTTCGTCGTACGAATTCATATTGTTATCGGCTGGATTTATTGTCGTTATCAGTGATAGTCGAAAAAAAATTAATAATCTGATAGACTTAATACCTTCATGAGAATTTTGCACATAGTTCTAGATATAGGTATAAGTTAACCCAAATAACAACGAATCGTGTTCGAATTGTATACAGAATGTATAAGTGTAATATTATAATTACAACGTATTGTTGCATGACTAACCTACCGATACCTTAGATATTGTATCGCCCCGCGACAAACACGACAAATCATCCTGCGAAAAACATCCTGACTCATAGATTCCAAATTCCTAACCAGCTAGCCTCCCGTACCCGATTACTCATCTTGCCCCTTTTGCACTCTACCCTTATGCCGACCATTTCCAGTAGTATATATATTACCATTTTTAACCAGCGAGTCAGTTTTCTGTAGTTCGTACTTGCGTGCGGAACTTACCGCTTACGAATAAAAACCTTCGAGCCTCTCTAACAAGTTGCGTTTAAATTCCTCAATCCGGAATCCAACAGTATCACATAATTATTCAGCTATGACTAATTGATGATTTTGTAATATACGAGATTGGTCCCAGTCAAATGATTTTAAATGTCTTCATCGCTTTCGGACACACCGGAGTATGAAGGGTTTCGGTACAAGTGCTCATCGATCTTTCTTGAGAGGATGCTTTCATCTTGACGGGCTGGATTAGAAGCTAGTTTCGTACTCGGGCAGACATCGATCGGGAACTAATTCTTTTTTGTGGTTTAAATGCTTGACAAATATTTTAGGTAATCAGTTTGTTTCGTAAGTCATCAAAAATGACTATACTAGCAAGATAAGTATGGTTTACGATCATAAATGTCCCATTGAGAAATAAAGATAAGTGAATCCACATACGCAATTCTGTATTTTTTAAATGGCAAAATCAATTCTTTTAAGATTAACATATAAACAAGATGGATGTGACGTTAATAGTGCGACTATTTTGCTGAAATCATTTCCATGGATCACGTGCGACCTATTTACTTGCGCTGGCGAACCGGGTCACCAGACGACGATGGTTGGAGTTTTAAACCTTGTAAAGTTTCTGATATTGCATTTCATCATATCCGTGTGAACTTCTGTGGAATTTTTTTTATCCCTTTCGCGTTAACCGCGGAAACAAACTGTTAATGCTTCGTTCGTTACAACATGTATTACTAATCTCAGATAAGAATTTAAAAAAAAAGTTTCATTTGAGATTTCATTAATGATCGTAAGTTTCCGTGGATTTGACTTATTTCATAGCTTTGAAATTTGATAAGATGATAAAAAAAATTAAAGAAATGTTATATAACAAATTAGAGTGCATTTAACGAGATTTGTGTAATAAGATGAACTTAATACACTGTAAATATTAATTACGCTAAAAAGATTATTGTTAAATGAAATTGTGCAAAAAATTAAATTTTTTATGTAACAATAATTTGTTTGATACCGTTAGAACGTATAAAATGCAAAATAAAATTTTAACATATTCGAAGAGTATTAATGAAATATCAGAAAATATATGAAAAATACTAATTAAATATACAGTAATTAAGAATTTAAACATAGTTGGAAATAACAAAATAGTAAGATAGCAAAACAGTTCTTTAATAGTCGTAAAAAGATGGTCAAATGAAAAAAAATAATAATTGATCAAGATATACATATCAATTATTGAATATACAAAGATTTTGTGAATAATAATGTAATTTCAACAATGATCATACAACACATAAAACCATACACTTGAAAGGTTAGGTTCAAAATTATGACAAACCTTAATAATGCATTTGACAACACGCGATCGCTTGCAATCGACAGTAAATCATAAAAAAAATTCTCCTAATACCTACAAAACATGTATATAGCTGAATTTCTCAAATTAACAATTAAAACAGCGTTTCAGTCGATCCACTCAATTTTCAAGTAGACAGCCGAAGCGCGAAAATTTGCATACATATAATTGTTGGCAAACAATGATTTATTTGTTTTTAGTACAGTGCTATTTCGGAATGACAGCCCACCGGAAATTCAGCAGAAGACATACTCACCGATCGAAAGTGGAGAGTGGTCACTTACGGTGTCTCGTTCCGGTGAAACACTTCTTATCATCGAAAGCGGTGATAAGAATGGAGAAAGAAGCTCACTCTCTCGCAGGCAGTGTGACTAGCATGATACTCGGGAGATTTAGTTTTCACCGTGGATCTTAAAAGATAAAAGAGAACTTGGTACGGTCCACGGGTGGAACCGTCGTTCGCTTACGTCACCGACTACGCACCAATCCCGATTGCCTCAACTAGTGAGAGAGGAACAGAGAATGAAAGAGAGAGAAAGACGTTCCAACAGACTAAACTCTCATTTTCTTTCTCTCTATATTTTAAATGGCCCTAATTAATAATGAGTGATACGTTATCGGTAGTATACGCAACATAATAGAAATCTATCAGGAAGCTTATTAAAGCATGACTAAGACAATTATAATCTAAATTATTGTCCAACTGAAACGCTTTTTAAAATGAAAACATACAACTGCTTTTCAATTTTCACGTAATCTCAAAGTGAATAATTATAATCTAAAAATTGCAACGATTTTGCAAAATAAAAAATATCCACGAAGACTTCACAAATTTCGAAATGGTCGAACTCTTTTTTTTGAATCGTTCAAGTTTCTATAGCTAATAATAAATTTTTTATATTTTTAAAAATTATAAAAACTATGAAATAATTAATAAGTATTTTAAGTATTTTCAAGAAACAGATGTTTTAAATCTGCGGTAACACTGTCAAGCGAAAACGACATTATCTGAATTAACTAGTAATTTAAACATTGTACTGTAGATGACGCTACGGTTCATTTTAATGTGGCGATTTTGGGGTCTAGATGTTCAGATGTTTATGCCACGATTTTGCTAGAGGTAAATAGTGAGTTGCCAAAGAATAAATCTCGGTGCTGGATTATAAACTTCTTCATTTAAAATTCATTAAAAAATTACACTATACAATGTTGTCTAGGCGTGTCGAATTGTCTCTCCTCGAGCTAGTAACTTTGATCAGGGATTCCCCTACTACCTCTACACGATTGTGTACAACATGAACAGCTCTATGTAGTGGTCAATGCAAACAAGTAAAATACGCTAAATTAACCCCTTGCCCTATAATTTATTTTTTAATTATGATCGATACAACTACCTCATCGTTAATAATTTATTAAGAATTGAAAAAAATGTAATGCTTATTCTATATGTACGTTTACTCCAAATCCTAACCATTGACAATGGGAAAGTAATATTCAATTAATGTTTAAGCAAAGTAGATAACAATTATTAGATTTCTCAAATTCAGTTGAAAATTTACGTTACGGGTCTGACACGATATTGTAGGTTAAAAGGTTGAGACAGGCACGAAAATTGCTGCACGCAAAATTCTCTAGGCAAGAAACACTTTACACAAGAATCGGCAACAATTTTCTCCGCACCGCAACACGCGGAGAGGGGGAAACGAAAAAAAAGGAAAGATAGATACGCGCTGGTATATTAACCGGTTTGCTTACGAAAAACTCAAATATCAACTAAAAATAGTAGAAACGACAATTATTGGTGTATATTATTTCAAAGTAACATAACACAAAATCTGACAAACACGAAAAATATTCAATCGTGATGTGTATTAATTGTCCATATTTTTCTCTTATATTCTTGAACTGTCAACGTTCTTTTTTGGTGAAAAATCTACGTACCATATAAACCCTCTCAGTTAAGAATTAGATCGTCTAGTTTTCTGAAAGTGGTAACAATTATAATTCAAATCAGTTTTCATTTAAACAAGGTTTGATTGTGAATTAAATATTTTCTCTATTTTTTTTTGTGTGAAAGTATTATTTGTTAGTGAACAGTGTATGCTACGTGACATAGACTTATATGCAGTAAATTGTAAAAACTTGGAAAAAAAACAATAATTCACTTTGTTTATTATATATTTTAAGTTGTAAATATAATAAATATTTGTTTAAAATTCATCAAGCTTTCTATTTTACTAAAATTGAATCATCGCCTGTGGATTGAAGTAAAACCGTTTTTGGCTGATTATTAATTTGTACCGGCAAGTTATTAGATTTTGTTTTATACTCCTAAACGTATACTTTTAAAGACTTATTTACTTAAAAGTATCTATTATTTCGTTACTGTATTTCAAAGACAGTGTGAATGTATAACCTATACACTTAAAAATAAAAAAGTCGTTACATTAACCTTACTTTTGATTTTTCGTTTCGAATAGATTACATATGTTTTTTATATTACAGTGTTACACAAACTTCTGTATGATGGAAACAGTGGCGTTAGTAACTTCATCTGACGATGATGATGATGTGTATTTAAATTCTGTCGCAAAATTAAAAGGTATAAAAATAAATGTAATAAATAGTAATTAGATTTATTATTGCATTATAATAAGTTTTTAATTTGTTTATTATGAGTTAATTTTTGTATTATTTTTATTATTATATTTTATAATTAATCTGTATTAAAAAAAAATTATTGATTTTAAATAAGAGAATGCATGTACACATACTAACATAATATGTTAACACATTAAGAACCGCTCGCGAGTTTTTTCGTGTTTTGCGCCCCACCTGTCACGGACCGCACACGAATTTTCTCGTGCTGCATACTATATATCATACTTTAAAAAAGTACTAGAAACTTTGATAAAATTGATTTTTAAATAAAATTTTATGATAATTATTAAAAACCAATTTTTTTAAATAATTGTCTAAAATACATTCTATTTTACAATTTCTGAAAGTTTCGCAAAAATTGTTTCATAAATAAAAAAGTAATGAGGATTTTAGTACCTTGCAAGCTTGCCCAAAAACGTGTGGTCCTAGGCGTATATCTTATAGATTTCTTAGCGGTCCTTATTGTGTTAATAATATGATATTTGTTGTTTTAAAAGATTCTATAAAAAGTTTGTCTTCTCTACTAATAATATGTTTACTGGTATATTTATTTTAAAAAACTTGATTACAGCCTTAACAAAACAGGTGCCATTGCAGTCTAACAAAGAGATCACCGAAAAGAAGGAAGAAACAGAAATAGAAGGGTTGAAGCACATGTGATATACATAGAATAAACTTTATAAGAGATTATGTTTCTTAGAGTTTTGCAACTTAGAATTACATTGTGATCCATTAATGTTAATACAATTTTTACGCATGAATAAACAATCATTTTGTTCACATAGGGATAATAACTTAAATGCATTAAATCTTTCATGTTGTTACATAAAATTCTATTAATTTTCAGAATTATTTCCACAAAGCCTATGATAACAAGATCAAAGAAAACAAAGGCTAATAAAAGTACATCAGGTCCTCGAACAAGGAGTCAAAGACGAGTAAAACAATCTATATTAATTATATAAAATTGTACAATAAAACTAATTAAGTTTGTTATAAAGTGCATAAATTCATAGAGAATATACACTTCTAATAAAGTAGAAATTCTTTATATATAATTATAGTCATTGTCATTAATGCTATTTTTCTTTGCAGAGAAAAAATTCAGTAGACCATGATTCAGATGTAGAAATTGTTTCTGTTGAAAATATGGTAAATGCTGTAGTGGAAAGACCAATTGTTGTTGAAGAAAAAATTAATTCTGTCGAAAAAAATGATGTGGTAGTAGTAGAAAAGATTATAGATTCTAGTGAGGATGAAAACTATGATATAAATATCAAGATTCTTTGGAGATCAAAAAATATGCATCGTTTAAGTATTTGCCAAGTATGTAGTTTGAAATAATTTGCATTACAGAGTATTATTAGGGATCCGAAATAATTTAATTATACACCTTAATCATTTTGGAAGTGAAAATAACTTAATTGTTTCAGAATGAAAATTTTCAAAAAATTTTCGAACATTTTGCAAATTTGGAAGGGGTTTCTACAAATGAAATTATGTTAACTAAAAGAGACAGGACTATTAAGAAAACTGATACTCCAACTTCTATAAACTTGTCTGTAATTGACATACTTGGTAAATTGATTATTATATTTTATATAAAAATCGAATCTTTTTTTTACTTTCAATGCAAATAATTCAGTAAAAATGTTTCTGTAGAAGGAGGTGTTATAAAGAAAGACACTACGGAAGAAAAACCCGACGAAGACGCCTGTATTATAAAAGTGCAAACCACAAATAAGAAGAGTCTAACGATATCGGTTAAGCAAGATGAAAGTTTTAAAGCTCTTTGGGAAAAATGTGCAGAAGAATTAAATATTGAAGAGGCGAAAATGAAATTGTATTTTGATGGAGAACTGGTTAAAATTACGGATACTCCTAATTCATTAGATATAGAAGACGAAGCTTGTTTCGATCTTCGATTGTCTTCTTAGAAAAATGTTTCATTTCTATTTATTAAAATATATTTAATAACGTTATTTAAAATGCTCATACAAGTCAATCGTTGTATATGAAAGATGTATATGAAATTAGTGCATTATTACAATGTAATTAATTTTTTTTTGTTCCTTGAAATATGTTAATTAAAATAGGTATTAATAACTTAAACGTAATGTTGTGATATTTTCTTGTAAAAAATTTATATTTTATTTCATTCAAATTCAATTAAAACTTTGTACTGATTAAATAAAATTAATCTAAGTCAAAATTAATGGTGGGCCTTCAGAGGGTGGTAACTCTCTAGTTTCTTGAGCTTCCACAATTCTACTTCTAATTATATTTCCTTCAGCATCCGTTTCGTCAATTGATATTAAAATATTTGAAATAACAGGCATTGATTTTCCTTCATAACTGTTTGCTTCTAACTTTTCTTCAGCTCCAATTTCGTCACATTCATCTCCTCTATCATCTAAATCTTCATAAACCTTTAAAAAAGTAAACAGCACATTTTTTTTTATCTTCTATAGACATTTACAAATATTTAATGACGAAGTTATTACCTCCACTTGGGGAACATTGGAATCTTTATTCAATCGAATATTGTATTTTTTATCTTGAACCTTTGACTGAGCAGCTGAGGGATTACTTTCTTCATCAACAGCTTCATATCTAACCATTTGCAATCTGTAGCAGCCATCTTCATCATGAGTATATTCAAATCTTGTATGACCACTAGGTAATTGAAATCTGTGTGCTTCAATCAGATGCTTCGTTAATCTATAACTCTTTCTATACTTTATTGGGCATTCATGACAGCAATACCATCGTAATTGCATACAATGAACTCGTTCTACATGCCTTAGAATAAAGACCATTTTTAATATGTATAAAGTTAAATACTCAACTACATGTATTATTTTGAAATGGAAAATGATTCTACCTATCGAGAGTATATGCACCCTTACACGTGTAAAGACACCCCTCAAAATGACATGAAAAGTTTGGTCCACTTGTGTGAACTGTCATGTGGGAATCAAGATCCTGTTGAGATTTAGCTGCGTGACTACAAAGTTGGCAAGGAAAACTTCTGGTAGGTACATGACGATATCGTACATGTTTGGCTAAACTAGCTGGTGATTCACAGCTCATATCACAAAGACTGCATTTGTAATTAAAAACATGTAATCGCATGTGATCTCTTAAAATTCCTTCCGTTGGATAAAATTTATTGCAATGGGAACACTGGAATCCTTGAACTAATAATTGATTTTAGTGTAGTATCAATTTTTATATGTTTAAATTAATTAAGTTTTATAAATTAAATTATTTTTTAAGTTTTTTGAACTAAAAACAATATAAAATTATATACTTTTTCATATTTTCATATTTCATACAAAATAAACAGCTTCTTAAATTTTTCAGTACTTTTAAATACTCTTAATTTTTCAATACATTTAAATAAAAACACATTGCTTTGGACATCTTACAAAATGGCGGGAAATTTGAAATTGTACTTTACCATCAATTGGAATTTGACGTTTGCAATGCACATGGAATTTTGTATTAGAAGCAAATGTAGCCCCACAATCAGGACAGGCAACGATTTTTTCTTTAGTATGACGGCGTATATGATCTCTTAATTTATATAAACTAGGATACAAGTTACTACAGCCTGTCCATTTGCATTCTAAGCCACCCTCGATTTTATTGCCCCTTGGACTTTCTTCAATATGTGCAGCTACATGGTATAAATATAGCTGATAATTTTTAAAACATTTTAAACATTCTTCCCAGCGGCAAAGCAGAGGTGCTGGAAGATCCACGACGTTCTTCCATTCTGAATCTCTGCGACATTTCTAGGATAAAAGGTTAGATTTCACGTAGTTATAAAAATTCAAATATTGCAACAGTAATATTATAAAAAAAATTATTAATTATGGAATATATTTAAACAAAATTTGATATCAACGAATAAAGAAATTAAAAAAAAATAATTAACGTAATTGAAAATCGTTGTATAGTTCCTTACGGGCAATTTAATTCTGGCGCGAATATTTGATCCAATACATTTCAGTTTCGTATGAAACGCATGGTAATTTACATGCCTCGAGATCTCATCGGAATTATTATTTTCATAAAAACAGGCGCTCCATTGACACACATAAACATCAACACCTTTCTCATTAGTTCGTATACTCAAGTCAGACACGTGCCAGCCCACGTGTTTAACAAATCTTTCAACATGATTAGTTTCGTATTCGCAATCGGTCCATTCGCAAGAAAGTTGGAAAACTTCGCGTTTCAGCGGCAAACCAACTCTTCTCCTTTTTGTACCGCATTCTGACACCGAATCAAACTCAGAATCAGTATTACAACTGTCATCGTCGTCAGTTTTTCTTTTATGCTGTATTTCGTCAGTATACGTAAAATTTGTCTGAGATTCCACCCATTCGTTACATCGTTGCTGTACATCTTTGCTTGTTATTAACTTTTTCGCGAATTCTGTCATTTTTTTCTTTTTTCAAATTTTAATTGTACAAGAAATTCTCAATTTGTAAAAACACTCATTTATCCGTACTTAATAGCTAAAGTATGAATGTATATACTTTTCATGTATTATTTAAAATCTTTTTTTTTTATTAGAAAAACAAGAGTTCGAAAGGATTCTGATCTTGACTTTGAATTTAAAAGTGTAGTCTAGTTTGTAACTTCCACCTTATATCTCTTCTATCAATGCTTATACTTAATACTTGCTGTTAAGTACCTAACCTGCTTATAATTTGATATGTAGTAAAGACCAACATAAAGTGTTCTATTTGTGAAAGTTTCGATACTTTACTGCTAAATGCTGAAATGTTTCCGTTTCAACAAATATGGAAATTATCGGCTGCTTCAGCGGGAATGAAACGCACAATTCTTCTGTCACAAATATCACTACAAAGACACTTCAACAAACAGAAAGGATATTCCACAATTTATGCGCTCTCTTCTGGTTGTTACACTGTTACTGTACTTTTTGGATAGTTCACGCCTTTTCTGGAATTACATGAAATAGATACTTTTAGACTACATCTTATTTCGATACTCTCTTCTACGACAAGTACTTTAACGTTCCGCCAATTCTAACTGCGCATGCGCTTCGCAAGTTTAAAACACAGTTGATTCGTTAAAAAACAAATATCTTGAAATATATTAATATTGTACGCAAATAATATTTCTAGTCCTGATAATATAGAAAAAATAAAATATTACCAACTTTAATAACTTATGACAAAAAGTTTTACACTAAAAGGTTTATTATTTGAATATATAATATTACAAAATTTCAGCAAATTTATTCAGAAAGTTCAGAAAATAAATATATTTTGAATGTTTTCTTGAATAACTTCAAATTGGAGTTTTAACATTTTTTATAATTCATTAAACTTATAAATATTTTTAAAACTAGTTCGAAAATAAAGATAATATATAATTTATTTATTAATCATTCAACTAGAATGTAAAAAAGGTTTAAAAGATTTCATACCGTGATAATGTAGTCGATTATAATAATTATTTTTTATTTTTGTGTTATATATAATTATATTAATATTATTCTCTTTTGTTTGATAGGATATGGGAAATGTGGAGTAGCAGTAATTAGGATATCTGGTCCAGATGCATCGATTGCTCTACAAAAAATGACTAAATCATCTATTCTGAAACCTAGAAAAGCTGTACTGAAAAAAATTCATGACCCAGAAACAAAGGAATTTCTAGATAAAGGCTTATGTCTTTGGTTCCCAGGTATTCTAATTTCTAACAATGAAAAAATGCCTATATATTTTATTAATTTTTACATTCATTAAAGTTACAATTACTGGAAAATAATAATTATAATTATATTAGAAAATTACATTTTAAAAAGATATTTACTAAGTAATGATAAATTTCAGAACCTAATTCTTTTACTGGAGAGAATTCTGTAGAATTCCATGTTCATGGAGGTCCTGCCGTAGTAACAGCAATCCTTGAAGCACTTTCAAAATTGCATTTTCAACTTGCATCTCCTGGAGAATTTACAAAAAGAGCTTTTTTTAATGGGAAATTAGATTTAACTGAAGCAGAAGGTATAGGAGATCTAATTGATGCAGAAACTGAAAAGCAACGCAAACAGGCACAGAATATGTTACATATATGGAATGTTATTGATAATTTTCGCTTTTAATCAAACTCATTGTGTAAATTTAATAGGCTTTTATTCAAGCAAGTGGATCTCTTCACCGTCTCTATGATTCTTGGCGAGCAATCCTTTTAAATTCTTTAGCTGGTTTAGAAAGTTATATTGATTTTTCTGAAGAGCATAGTTTGGAATCGCATATCTTGCAAGACACAAAAACGGCATTGCAAAAATTATGTGCGGAGATTGAACAACATTTATCTGATGGAAGGAAAGGAGAAATTCTGAGAAATGGAGTCCGTGTTACAATCCTTGGAGAACCAAATGTAGGAAAAAGCAGCCTTTTGAATCTCCTTTCTAGGAAAAATGCAGCCATTGTTACTTCAACTCCAGGAACAACAAGAGACGTTATAGAATTAACAACAAACATTTGTGGATATTCAATGATTCTTGCAGACACTGCAGGAATTAGATATAATCCAGAAAATGAAATAGAAGTAGAAGGTATCAGAAGGGCAAAAGAGAGCACAAAAACTGCAGATCTTGTTATATGTTTAATAAATGCAGAAACTGATTTCAAATGTTCTCTCAAAAAGTATATAGAATACTATAAGAATTTTTTAGAAATACAAGCAAACAATGTTCTTATAGTAGTTAACAAAGTAGATTTATTAGGCAATAAAGATAAACAAAGGTGGAAAAAACACAATATTCTTACAATCTCATGTAAAACAGAAGAGGGTTTGGAACAACTAACAAAGGCATTGGGAGAACGTTTCAAGGAAATGTAAGTATTTAATTTAAAAATTACCAACTCTTTATTAAAGTAGATATATCAGTGCATCCCTCAGGGATGTAATATTTATTTGTTGAAATTTTTTAATTTCAGATGTGGTGATCCATCTGAAGAAAACCCTGTAATTAGTCATGCAAGATATAGAAACCATTTAACAAATACTGCAGAATATATTCAAGCTTATTTAGAAAAGACAGAAATAGAAAATTATGATATGGCCATATCCTTACAAGATATTAGAAATGCAGCAAGAGAATTAGGAAAAATAACAGGTTCCATTAACAATGAGGAAGTTCTTGATATTATTTTCAAAAATTTTTGTATTGGAAAATAAAGATTATATAAAAAAATGAAATATCTGATAAAATAGAGAGGGAAATATAATTATAAATAATATTCTAATAGTTAAAACAATTTATTTGACAATATATCATAGCATTTTACCTTTCTAACAAAGAATATGGAAAGAAAATTTAATTGGAACTGTAATTATCAACTTTCTTTTGGTGTTTCTTTCTCTCTTTTCAAGGGCGTTACATCAACGTCGTCCAGGTTTATATTTTGATCCTTCATAGCTTGCTAAAATACAAAATGATCATATTAATTGACACCTCTTTATGTAATTTAAAGACATCATTGAGAAGTATTATGAGACATAGATATGAGAATGATATATATATAAAATATATCATTTATATTTTATATTGTATTATCAAAAAATAAAAAAAAATAGTTAATAAGGAATAAGTATTTGATTTTTATAATTTCTAAACATATTTTCTGTTAAAATATGTTATTAGGACTTGCGACAAAATATATATTAAATTTATGTTAAAAATATTGCTACGTGATTTGATAATAACGTTATTGAGGTTAAGGTACTGTTGAATTTTATAATTTTTTCCAAATTTTATTACTATTTCTTTCTTTTAATTTATATATTTCAGAATCATCTATAACTACTAATGTGATCATAAAAACCTAAGCAGAGGAAACTTTATTATATTCATTAAAATAAAAAAATTTGTAAGTCACGCAATCAATGACTAAGATTCTTGGAATTTAATAAACCATTGTTTACATATAACAGTTAATAATATAAAGTGTTAGTTATTTCTATTTCAAAGTATAAAATGACTAGTATTAGTTTGCCAACATTCAACTTACAGCAATACATTCGGTATAAACTTTAAGCAATGCTGCACACTCGCTATCATCGTAAATACCACGTAAAAATTTATCAGAAAACCAAAGATTAAAACAGTTGTCATATTTCGATTTTAAGTCTTTGCAAGCATCCATAATTTATCACCACTGCAACTTTTTAACTCTTCGCTATATTGTTCACATGTGCGCTTGTTACATTGAGAATTAGTGAAACCAACACTACTTTCGAATATTAATCAGGATTTAAAGTATTATGTCACTCGTTATGCGGGAAAACAAATTTTCCAATTAATTTATTCTATAAATGAATAATTTTGTTTGAATTATTTTAACCGATTTAACGTATAAATACAGATCAATAATCTCCGTGTAAGAGGTTAGTCAAAACGACAATCATTCCAATGAGTAATTTGGATAAGAGTGTTCAAAATATAAATTCTATTTAAGAGCTTAGTTAAACGTAAATATAATACACGTTTGTTAATAAATCTTGTAAAATATAATATTTCAATTTAAGTTTGTTTTCGGGTTTTTATTTACATTTTGAGAACATCATTATATTTTAAATTGCGAAAGTATATACACTGTTGAAACAGTAAATCATAAAAAATAAAGAGAATTTAATTACCTGTAGACACTGGTTGTATTGTTTGAAATAATTAGAACACATTGAATCGTCAAAGTCTCCTTTCATAAACTTTTGAGAAAACCAAAGCTTAAAACAATTATCGTACTCCTTTTTCACTTGATTACAAGATTCCGCGATGCTATTCATTTAATTTTCGAGTGTACCACTAATTTAATAAGAATAATTATATCAGAACGATTTCCTGTAATTAAAAAGAAAATTGTATTTCCAATGATATTCCTTCCAGCTAATGGATTACATGTATAAAAATATAATTTTCAATTTACAAATTACAAGTAATGATTTGACGTATATAAATGATTATACAAATTGTTTGATTAGACTGATTTTGAGTTCTATTAAATATTATAATTATAATATTCTTATCGACTGAAATCGATTAATCGAATTTGAAAATTTGCCATTTTCTATCAAATTTTTGATGAGATAGAATATCAATTTAATTATATTTGTTTGTATCCACGCTGCATTAATGACTTAACAATCAATTATCTTAAGAGAGCAAAGATTAGATTTGACTTACGTCTAAATATCTCTAAAAATATCCACAATGTATTACTGCAACGCACGAGGTATTTTGTGGTTATGACAATACTTTGCGTCAATTGGTTAGTTGGTGATAGTTCTCAACTTTGTTTTTCTTAAAACATTCTAGGATACTGCAAACAGTTGATACATATAGGGAATTTCATTTAAACATGATAATTTAATCACAATTTGAAATGTGTATAACTTTTTATATATATATATTGTAAACGACCGTGAACTTTCGAGCGTTTTGAAACGGTCGTTCATCTTTTATCACTACGAGGTATAAAAAGAGAAGCAAATATAAGTAAATAAATTGGTATGATACATATATATATATATACACACACCCATATTGACAATGATGAATATTTCAGAAAATATGCATTGATTACATTAATGTCTTATGACAGATTCTATACGAATTTCCAAACGCATGAAAAATCATGTCATATTTGATGCATAATAAAATTTCATTATTCAATTTTTTTCAAAATAGACTAGTATTATCTACTAATGGTTGAAATTAATACTACACATATTTTGAAACACAACAACATTACATAATGCATTCAGTTTGTTACTCTTTCATTATCACATTTACTCATAAGTGGAGCACTCAGAGAAAGAAACTTCAGTTTCAGATTAAAAGTGCGATAATTCATTGTTTCGTCATTCACACAGGAAATACAGTTGAAAGCTGACTTATGATTGCTTTTCCTGACAGTACATACTTTATATGGATCTAATATATTAACTGCTCCAAGAACAAATTTTGAGTTATTTTATAGGATTAAAAATTCGTAGAAGGATATGTCATACAATTCAGTTATAATAGAAAATATATTTATTCACTTATTTTAATGTGATTAACCAGATTTCAATCATTTCTGCTCAAATACATATGTCAAATATACCATGTACACTTTGTATTGAAAAATTGAATATCAATAAAAATAAATATTTAATAAAATGACAAAATTGAGCTAGCTAAATTATAATTACATTGATGCAACAATCTTAAGGCCCTAGGCATGTTAAATGATTCATATATGTGGAACAAATTTACGAATTAATGTAGTTATAAATTATAATAATCTTTGTAAAATGTCAAGTGGAACTTGCATTGTTTGATCATTCACTAAAACAATGTCAAATTCTTCCATATATGCGGGCAGGCTACTTTCAACCTAAAAGAATGAAAAATTTCTAAGGGTGTTATTAAAACAGTTTTTAAATAATTTTTTAATGTAATTTTTATAACTCGTACGTTTTTAAAGAAAAATTTAGCATTTAAGAATTATATCATCATTCAGTACTTACATGATCATAAAGAAAACCAATTTTCAATACTGCACATGTATCTGTCATCCCATCTACCATTGATGCATCACCTAGAGTATCACCCATGAGGAACACATTTTTCCTTCGTTCAAGAACTTTAAAATATTCTTGTTCTACGGCATGTTCATTTTTGTTAAAAACGTGAATCAGCCTTTCATTTTTAAATCCCGCTATTTTTCCATCTTTGTACTTAAGAAAATTTGATATCACCTGAACATCAAAATAAGGATTATTATTAAGATTGTTACTATTACCTTTAATTTAATCTTTATTGTTGTTTTCAAATACAATATTATTAGAAAAATAAGAAGTAAAAAGGAAAATTTTGTGTAGTATAATCAGTGCAATCTGTTAAAAATATTACCTTTACATTATCGAAGTGAACTCCATGATTCTTTAAAATAGCTTCTACAACATCTCCTAAGCCAGCACTAAAAACCAGTACTGGAATTTTAGCGGAATAAAACTTCTTTAAAATTTCTGTGGTACCATCTCGTAAATCTGTGCCATATATTCTAGCTACTTCTTGTATTTCATTAGGATTAAATGGTATTTCTTTCATTATCTCTTCTGAAGCAATCATCCAGTTTGTCATTGCTTCTACTTTTACATCAAGTGGCAAATGAGGATCAATTTCAATTGGTCTATATTTGTTATAAAGATGTCTCGACTCTTTTGTATATGTTTCTGGAAGTTGCTTACACTTACTGAAGATTCCTACATAAGATAAGTATCTTATAAAATATCATTAAAAACAATGTATTTATTACATACATGGACATACCAAAACTACTGAGAACCCTTTTACCCTGAACATGTTGTTTAGTTAATGTTAAATCAAAATCAGTAACAATCTGAAAAAAATTATTCAATCATCTTTCAATTAAATGCATAACATTATTATTATTATAATATATTATTTGCAATAGTAAACTGTACCAATTAAACATTTTTATAATATTTGATGATGTAATGTCTTTTAGTTTCATGTATATAAAAAATAAAAAATAACTATACCTGCAAAGAGTTACATCCATCCCTTAAAATTGTGTTTATTATCTTCAGAAGACGTTTCTTGTTTTTAATATGGACATGTTTCAATTTCAGTGTTGGAAACTGTATTAAAACACAAGATTAAACAATTTTTAAAATTTTTAGAAATTCAAGATCTTAAATAAAGAATGTATCCTTAAAAATTTGATTAGTAACACAAAATAATTATTAAACTAACCATTACATACAAGGTTAACTTTATCAGTAAAAGTCACCA